GGGTCCCGAAGGAACTACGATCTACAGAGACCTCCTAAGGGAGAAAGCACAAAAAAACTCCCGGAAAGAAGCTGAATTAGTCATGTGCATTAATAAAACGTTATGGTAGAACGAGAGCGTGAGAGAGGAGCTCGGTGTGTCCTAAGAAGTCCCCCGGCAGTCTAAGCCTATAGCAGCTTAACTAAGGGCTGGTCCGGACTAACCTGAGCCAGCCCTAACTATAGGCAGAATCAAAGAGGAAAGTTTAAAGTTTTACTTTAAAAGAGCTGACCGAATCTGCCCCCCGGACTGAAAGTGGAACCAGGTTCCACAAAAGAGGAGCTTGATAACTGAAGGCTCTGGCCCCCAGCCTACTTTTTAAAACCATAGGAACAACAAGTAACCCAGCATCTATGGAGCGCAGCTGCCTTGTAGGGCAATAAGGTGTTACAAGCTCTTGTCAATGCAGTACATACGGAAGGAAAGACTGAAAACAGTGGTTATGAACTTGGCAGAGGAAACATTACTATCTGGAAGCACTGAGCAGACCGGGCCCTTTCCATAAGGGGGGTTCAAGAAGCAGTCACCAAAACGCAGCGTTTACAGACAGAAGGAGAATACAGGTTTGACACAGTTCAAAGCTGATGTGTTTACATTGAGTTTCAGTGGATCACTGACTTCCTGTCTGACAGGAAGCAGCATGTGAAACTGGGGAAACATGTCTCTGTCTCCCGGACCATCACCACCGGTTTCCCCCCAAGGCTGCGTTCTTTCTTCTCTCTGCTCTGTACACAAACAGCTGCACCTCCAGTCACCAGTCCGTGAAGTTTGCGGATGACACCACCCTCATTGGACTGATCTCTGGTGGGGATGAGTCCGCCTACAGGTGACAGTCTGACCATCTGGTGTTGTGGTGCAGCCAGAACAACCTGAAGCTCAACGCTCTAAAGACAGTGGAGATGGTTGTGGATTTCCGGATGAACAGAGTCCCATCCTCCCTCATCACCCTGTGCGACTCCCCCGTCACTATTGTGGATTCCGTCCGTTTCCTGGGCTCCATCATCACCCACCCGTCCCTGCAGGGCTTGCTTGCTTCGAGGACCCTGAAGAGAGCTAAAAAGATTGTAGCCGACCCCTCTCACCCTGGACAAAACCCGTTTGTGCCCCTTCCATTTGGCAGGAGGCTGAGGTCCATCAGGACTAAGACCTCCCGCCACACCAACAGTTTCTTCCCGTCGGCAGTCGGGCTCATCAACAGAGCCCAGTCTCCCACTGACTGACTCTGACATTCCACCGGTCACTTTCTTTCTCACTGCATCACTTTCACTTGCCCCTTTCTGTTCGCTGGTGTACTTTTAACTTATTAACTTTTTGAATTTGTATTGCTTTATTTTTAAACTAACCTATAGCCTCATATTACGAAGCCATAGCATTATCATTTATTTGATTCTCTTGCACTATCTTGTTTGTTGTTTGTTGTCGTACTGTCTGATGTCGTGCACCAACATGAGTTCTGTGTCAAAGGGGGAAAGTATGAAGCAAAACTAATTTAGTGACGTCATATATCTTTCCCAGGGAAATTGTATTGACGAAGTCCTAAACGTAGTCTAGTACTGGTTGCTAATACGGTAGATTAGTTTAGACGTGCGCCCGGTGCGCGCGAACACAGCAAAACTGAGAGTTCTGTGATGTTACAATTATCTTGCATGTTTATTTTACATCCAAATATCATAAAACGGCAAAACTTTAACTCATAATACACCCGCATTGCTCACCACAAAGGCACACACACACACTGGCACTGGTCGAAAACTGTTTGCTTCTCAAATTAGCAACACCTGTGTCTGAGATTCCTGCAGGTTAAATGGCCTACCTGGGCTGATCCAAGGTCAGCTGAGCCACAAAGCACATACAGCCCCCTAGTGGCACAGAGCAAAATTAAATGAAATAATAGCAAATGTATATGGCTCCTACAGAAAAACTCAACAAATTCACAATCCCTGATTCTCATCATGAATGCTAACATAGGATTAGACCTGTGTGTGTGTGTGTGTGTGTGTTAATTGTGCGAGACTTATCGGACCTCAAGGCAGCCTTTCTTTGGGACAGAAAAGTCACTTTACCTTCCATCTGACCTGCAATTACTCACATCACACACAAGGCCACAGTAACAGCGTAGCCGCGGGCCGATGCCCAACAGCGTTAGCATCACAGTGTATGGAACACACAGAGATGTAGTTTATGTTCTTGCCAACATGGACAGTGATTTTTGTTCTTCTTTTTACACCAGAATGTACAAATCACAGGTAAGTCTCACGAAATGTTGTGCCTCCCCTACTCCTCTATGGCCAAAGAGTAGTCCGACTACCGCACTCTTTAAACACACGTCCGGTGGATGCTACGGCCGACGGGTCAGCGGAGCAAGCAGGCCCTCAGAGTCCCGGTGCATTCTGTTCAACATGCGGTTCATAACAGTAAGGAAACATATTTTACATATTTTCTGCTGTATATTGGGGAGGACAGATTGGTATTTTCTCAATATTGGAGGGGGACACGATTCCCTCAAAGGATGCATGGTTACGCCCTTGCATTCATCCACATCACAGTTTATTAACTTTTCTGAGCCACATTTTTGGCAAAGAGAAAATAAGACTATTTAGCTCTTAGTCAGGAAAATGCAACTCCTGTCCAAAGAGGACTGTCACGCTCCGGGCCGCACGGCCATGACAACCAGGAGGGGACATCACAAGTCACAATGGAGTTTTATTTGACTCACAGATACAGCTGCACGTGGAGTTTCAGGGGTGGAGGTGAGTGCATGCGTGGAAGGTGTGTGTAGTCAAACATACTCTTTTAAATAGCAAATAGCAAACCAGGTGTCTCAAGAGGGAGGGAGGGAGAACCTGAGACCAGAGGGCCTTTCATCAGAGTGCACTGGCACATGTGTTGCCAGTGCTGCTGACTACCTCAGGCGTCTCCACTCCCCCGATGACCCTCCTCCATGCCAGCCTGCAGGTCCACCAGCCAGAGGCAGAGAGGGTCGTCACAGGACACAGAAATATGTGTTACTGTGGAATTACTATAATAGTTAAACCATTGATAAATCACTCAGGAGTAAAACTAGTCAACCTTCCGCTACAACACACTGTCGTGCCATTTGACCTCTGGGCTCTATTTCTGAACATGAGGCATTTTTCTCAATTATTGGTGGTTCACATGCAGACTATCTGTGTGATTTACTTTTATTTTTTACTGTTTTAATAGGCTGAGACTGTGAGCCTTTAAGTAATGGTTTCTTCACACAGCGCTGTATATTCATGATCACGCTGGTCGGGTTTTTTCAGGATAGTGTAAAAGAATTTTGCCGTTTTGAGGGGTCAGGACTTCGACACAGGTGCAGACCAATGAGGCAACAAAAAACTTCTTTCCAGGTTTGGAATATTTTACTTGGAGAACAAACTAATGCAGAACAAAAGGGTGCACAGGCAAAGGCGGAATTCACACGCTCTTGTAGAAACAAAAAAAGGAAGAGGGCCTGGCAACGAAGTAAAAAAAAAAAGATATCCAAAAACAGCACTGGGAATTTCTGACTACGAACATGCAGCTCGGGGAAAGACAAAAGATAACCTGACACAGTGAAGTGGGGGGAACTGAGGCTTAAATACAGGTGGAGGTAATTGCAAACTAAACTCAGCTGTGGGGAGAAATGAAGGGTGAGAAACTAGATACAGGAAGTGCAGAGGTTACAAAAATAAAAACAGGAAGTTAATCTTCGCTGTGTCTTCTAGTCGCCACAGTCGTGATGTCTGCCAGTGTATTTATGGCGCTAAACATCTTGCAACTGAACATTTTCCCGGTTATTAACTGAAACTACCATCTGGGCTGTTGTTAACCCTAACCTTGCCCCCCCTCCAACATTGGCCTCCTCAAAAATTCCAAATACATGATGAGATAATTGCATGTGGGGATATGCTTGACCTGCACTTGGTTACATTTCTGATCCATTTGTTCCTTTGTTTCTGACTTTGTAAAAGCGTATAAAGCTTTATACACTGATTAGCAACAACACTTTAAGACAGAGGTCTTCAACAGGGGGCCATGTACACCAGGGGGGTCGCAACATTTTTGGTTAATAAGACTGGTTGATTTTTTTTAATTAAAAAATATCAACTAATCTGTATTCATTGTCTTGGGCGATATTGTATTGGCGACTGTGGGTGAGTGGGGAGCACGGTCGTCCTCCAATCAGAGGGTTGTCGGTTCGATCCCAGGCTCTGCTAACCCGCATGTCGATGTGTCCTTGGGCAAGACACTTAACCCAACATTGCTCCTGTAGCTGCGACTACAGTGTGTGAATGTTAGTGACCGATGGGCAGGTGTCACTGTGTATGGTTCTCATGTCATCAGTGTATGAATGGGTGTGAATGGGTGAATGATGTCATGTAGTGTTAAAGCGCTTTAAGTGGTCGGAAGACTAGAAAAGCGCTATACATATAAGTACAGTCCATTTAGCATTCACCATCTTTAAATATACATTAACATGAATCCAACAAATTGTAGAGAGCGGATAAATTGATGGAGAAGAGTTATCTTTCAGTCCGCAATGCAGACATTCGGCTTCACACAGCAGCTCTCAAGCTGGACACCGGTTCACTCACAGCTCCTTCCATGCAAATACGACAACACAGGCACCAGCCAATGCTCACGTCTAAAGAGCGCGAAGCTCAAAAATAAAAGATGGCGGACCAAACTCCGTAGAATAGGGGCTCCATCTCTCTTTCAGTTTGGGGGTCCTTGGCCTGAAAAACGTTGAAGACCCCTGCTTTAAGACACTCATTTATGTAACGCAAACAGTGACATATCTGATCTCTTGCGTGCAAGACTCCATTTTAGAAAACATTCAGGTTTATTTTCAAATAAACGTTTTCTCACCACCGTGCCCCCTCATATGACTCTAGTAAGAATTTCATCACTTTTTGCTAAATAATTTGTCATTTCTTTCAGACGCAAATGTGGAGCAACAAATATTTTCACTATTGCCATTATTGCTGTACCTGCTAATGCGTTTGTGAAAGTCATGACAATTTTTTGTTTGTTAGACAAAGTCATGCAAAGCCGCAAAAAAAACAACCATAACACTTAAAGGCACCACTACAGAGAGGACACGGACAATAATACAACCTCATCTTGAGCTGCAGACCAGCGACCATGGAGAGAATCATCGTCTTACTTTTTCTCTGTACAGCTGTTGAGGCGTTTGTGGGAAAGCACATTTTTGTTAAAGAGAAAAAAAACTGGTCCGAAGCTCTGGATCACTGTAGAACCCACTATACAGATCTTTCCTTTGTTATTAGCCAGAGTGACCAAGACAGGCTCCAATCAGCGTCAGAGGGAACATTTTGCAAAGGATGGATCGGACTCCAACAAGATACATCAGGCAGCACTGCTGCATGGATGTGGTCAGCAGGCGGACGCGTTACGTACGAAAACTGGAGGAACGGAGAACCAAATAACTTTAAAGACGCTGAGCACGTTGGAGAGGTCCTTCGTAATGGAGAATGGAATGATAATGAAGAGGAACAATCCAGTCCTTTTTACTGCATCAATATAACCGTGGTAGTAGAGGAGAAGTCCTGGGAGGAGGCTCTGCAGCACTGCAGAGAGAACAAAGCTGACCTCAGCAGCCTGCACTCTGACACGGAAAACATTGCGGCCGGCAAAGACCAGAAGGGCGTCCGCACCACGGAGCTGGTGTGGATTGGTTTGCGCTTCCTGGCGGACCGCTGGCTGTGGGTGAACGGGGACCCTCTGGAGTACGAGGCCTGGCCCAAGGGAGGGGTCCAGGACCACCAGTGTCCAATGCAGAACCGCTGCGGGGCTTTAAACAAAGAAGGGCTGTGGGTGAACAGGGACTGTGAGGAGAAACTCAACTTCATCTGCTCCTAATATGTCTGAGGAATTAAAATAGAATGACAACTGATGCTCATACTGACTTGTAATGCAAAAGTTAACCTAAATGCAGGATGAAAATCCTACTTTACACTAGATAATTATGTAGAATCAAATCTGAACTGTCATGTTTTTTCAATATATGTATTTCTGCTGTGACGTAATAATCCTTTCTTTGCTTGTACGACGATTTAAACTCTTTGAAGACCCTGATAACTGCTAAGAAAAGGAAGGGCATGTTGTTTTGGAATAACAGCTGACTTGTTAACTTGCTCAAACCAAAAATGTACCTTGTGTAACCATAGATGTTTTCAGCATGCTATGATTGTTGTCTAATTTCTTTCTTTCTCTGGATACTGACCCAACACCTTGTTAGATGTTATTATAAAAAAGCCAAACCATTCCATTTTATTAAACTGAAAAAAAATAATTTCAGTTAAAGTGTTTTAATTTAGCACAATCTCATGCTACACATGAATATAAAAAGTATAGAAGTTATAACAAACCGAATACAAATCAAATCAAAAGAGCGAAGAAAGTAAATAATAATACTACTACAAATTTGAAATGAAACCAGATCTCTTGCTGGACACTAAACTCTAGTTATAAACTTGACAGGAAAGTGAATTTAACTTTTGCTCTTGGAAATCATTTCATTTTTTAAATATCAGAGAATATAGCCAACATGTTAATATTTCAAATTTGACATCAGGAAAACATTATATTTACATCAGTTATGCTTGGTGCTCAAACATATTCGAGATGGAGAGAATTATACGTCTCCTTTTAATACTTGAGCTGGACCCAAGAGCAGACACAGGACGGCGGAGTCGGGTTATATGTTTCTTTAATAATGAAGATGGTTTACGGGAGAGGAGAAGGTCTGATGGAGGTGACGAGGGAGTGCAGGAGGGTGATGTGAGCGGCGGTGGCTGGTCTGTTGTGCGGGAGTCCTAGGCAGAGGAGGGAGAGGTTAGAGAGTACCAAAAACCTGTAAGTACAAAACAACTCTTCAGTTTAGAAGAAGGCGTAGAGCGGCCGAGATCCACTACCACTGGTCGAGGAATAATATGGCGATGAGGAGAGAGGAACCCAGGGCTCCATAGCAGTGGTGATTGTCAGCTGGTGTGGTGATGAAGGCCGCCGCCCAGTTACACACACACACACAGACAAACACAGATTGCGAAGGGGGAGGAGACATAGACGTATATATGGAGTCACGGCATAGCCATGACAACATAGGCATAGCCTACAATAATTGAGAGAACAAAAAAATACATAAATAAGTACAGATAAGTAAAGAAATTTGAACAATTGTCCGGATTCTGCTTGTTTGGTGTTTCCGTATCCTGTTCCCATTCATCTGGCAGTCATCAGGTGCTTTTCTGTCAAGAATCAGGTTGAGGGACAACTTTCTCAGCTCACCTCGGCTGGATTTATGGCCAACTCTGGTGCAGTTAGGAGGCCCTGTAATGTCTCTGTCAAATAATAAAACATTTTAAAAAGCAGAAGAGCTGAAGCTGACGCGCCTTGCTTCAGAAGGGAATGGTAGATTACAATGTGCTTTGTTTAGTTCCCGCTGTGCCCAGAACACACCTAATTAATTAATAGAATAAACACAACCCCTTTGTTCTTGACATGTGCCCTATAACTTTCAAACGTGGAGTCAAACTTGGATTCACATCAAACTACAACGCTGCCCTGCAGTCACAATCAACATGCGAGTTACGCCAATTCAGACCAAAACACAAGTATCGTGTAACTCTGTAAGGTTGGAAAAACATTATAGTAATTAACATGCAAAAATATGCAAAAAAATGGATATTGGTCTCAAATTCCAGGTTGAAAATCTCTGTGTTTGTTTGCCGTTGTTTTTCTATACCAAATTGAAGCGATACATTAGTTTAAAAAAAGATGGCAACACGTTCACAATGTCAACACGTGACATGTTTATGTTCAGCAAGATACAACAACAACACCATTGCTGACCAGGTCCACTGTCCCCCCAAATTTATACCAAATCCGAATACTCAAGAAAATGTGACCTAAGAATCGAACAAACTCTTAACATCTATGAAAAAGATGTAAGATAATTTAACAAAAGAGAAAAAAGTCTGTGCATCCCCGAGGTCATGACACAACGTATCAGCATGAGAGACCTGAAGAGAGTTTTCACTCCTGTCTCCTTGGAGCTTTTTTAATTACTCATGTATGACGGTTTACTGATTGGAGTGGCTGCTTCCAGTAATTCTAGACGCCCCATGCGATCAGTAATGTCAATGCAGCAAATATGGCGGGAAATAAAGCTGGAAAGACTGAAAACAGTGATTATGAACTTGACAGAGGAAACATTACTACCTGCAAGCACCGAGCAGACTGGGACCTTTCCATAAGGAGGGTTCAAGAAGCAGTCACCAAAACGCAGCGTTTACAGACAGAAGGAGAATACAGGTTTGTTCAGACAGCGTGACAAAGTTCAAAGCTGATGTGTTTACATTGAGTTTCAAACTGACCGCGAGGCGAGATCCCATCTCCAACAGCCCATCTTCTCTCTGTCAATACCTGGCTATTATTTTAGCAGCTTGTGTGTGCGATCACCTTTGTTGCACAGAAGAGCTGCTGGGAGTGTTGCATCCCTCTTTCAGGCTGGCCAAAGAGGCCTTGACATACAGGGATCGAGCAGTGCAGCACTGGTTCTTTTTCTTTGCTTCTTGCCAGTTCAAATTGACATCCCATTGATCACGCACACACACTCTTAACCTCCAAGCATGTTTAGTTTTTTGTTGTGAAATGCACAAAATGTATCGAACACTGTGCCCATCACTTTATGAACTAGTTTTAGATGTGAGCTCTTCACAGCAAAGCATTCTATTCACAAATGTCCTGATTTGGACCCCGCTTTGATTTCAGTAACAGGACAATAATAGCGCACATCTCAAGGCGCCCAATGAGAGGTACCATTTGCCAATGTGGCAGGCTTAGCCTTAATTCCCACCGCTTCCACTATTCCCCTTTCATCTGCAGGTTTTCGTTTTGAAACAAATAGCTTGTGCAATACCTGAAGCTGCTGTTGAACCTGTAATGTGTATTTCAAAAAAGATTTCTTCTTCCCGACAATGTTTAATACTTATGAATGCTTACATTTCCAGCGCATTTGGCTCTTCAGCGTGTACAGAGGTATCATGCGCACTCACGTGTGTCATTATAATTTTAATGAATGGCCTAAAGTGTCTGTCATGCCAGAAAGGGACATTTGTGCACTCATGTAAAACAGGTGAGGACTGACGCCTGGTGGAATAGTTACTACTCGCTTCTGCTGTAGCTCTCACAACAGAAATCTCCTCTATTTCCTCTTTGCTTTGCTTCTCCCTGACATTTTTCCCATCATTACAATCAATTTTGTTCAATAAAAAGTTCAAATAAAATGAGCCAGTAAATTAGAGCCCGATTAAATTAGTAAAATGGACCAAGTGATTGTTGCATCCCCACACTCTTGGCCGTAGCAAACTAGCTGGCTAAGAAACAGACAGCTGGATAGTTAGCTTGCTTGCTAATTCCAACCTGCCTTAATGCTACACTGCTTGAAAAGGAGAATAAGATGGCTGGTGACCAGCCTGTCAGGGGATGCGTGGAGGAGGCAGGACTCAAACGCAGACTTCTTTGAAAGCAAAAGACTTTAATTGTCAAAAAGGCAAAAGCAAAAGGCCAAGGGGCAAAAACATGCAGGAACCAGGGGAAAAACGGGAGACAGGCACTACGAACATCCACGACAAAAGACAAGGACATGCGTGGCAAAAGACAATGACGCGAAAAGTGACAACAGACACACACGGCTTAAATACACTAGGGAGGTGCAGGTGATTGGAAACAGGTGGAAACAATTAGACGATCACAAGGGATGACAAGACAAGGAAGGAAGTGAAGTTACCCGGGGACACGAGTGGCAGAAAACTACAAAATAAGACAGGAAGTGAACCACACCGTGACACAGCCTAATATGTTATGATAGCTTCCATTCATTTGGACGCATTTCACCTCCTCGAGTAGATGCACTAATTCCATTAGAATTAATTAAAAATTGACATAAAATCCTGGTTCACTAAAAACAGAGGGATTGTACCATCTGCCGCGGCCCTTGGAAAGCTCATCTGGGTTTTTCCTGATGTGTTTCCCCAGTCCGTTGTTGCTACTGCAGTCAAAAGGCCCCACATGGACCTGTCCTAGCTCCCTTCCTCTTCACCATATACACCTCTGACTTTAAATATAACTCTGCCAATTGTCACCTACAGATGTTCACTGAGGACTCTGCAATCGTCGGTCTCATTTCCGCCGGTGATGACAGAGAGTACAGAGAACTTAACCAGGACTTCTTAGGATAGTGCCAGCAGAACTCCCTCCAGATAAACTGTAAACCAAGGAGCTGGAAGAGGACGTGGGGGTAAACACTCTCCTCTGGTACCAGTGAACATCCAGGATACGGACATTGAGATCGTGAGATCTTATAAGAACCTGGCTGTTCATTTGAACAATAAACTGGACTGGACAGATCACATTTGTGCGCTCTATAAAAAGGGTCAGAGCAGACTATCTGCTGAGGAGACCGAGGTCCTTTGGGGTGCAGGGTGCACTGCAAGGAAGGACCTTCTTTGACTCGGCGCGGCATCATCTGCCACGATCCTGTGAATTTCCCTATTGTGGGACAAATAAAGGAATATCTTATCTTATTTCATACCAAGTCCTTAGTGGCACTAGCATGGCTGATACGGTTTTGCTTGCTCTATGAATGGTTTGTATTACGCACCTGTCATCTATTTTCATTTTATCATAGAAACGCTGCCTGATTTCATTCTGTGTTTGGGTTCGAAACTGCTATTAAAGGGACATGCTTGATAAGTTAGCTGATGAAGAGCCCATTTGGGCTCATGGTAAATATTCTCCTTGTTCAGCACCTGGACAATAAAGATGTATGTGTTTTGCTCACTAATTATTGTAAGAAAGAACAAGAAAGCTTTCACCATTAGTTTAACGTATACTGTTAAATCCCTCTTCATCACATCCACTCTATCCACGATGCACTGAAAGTGTTCAGTGATCACACTGCATTGACTGCTGGATCATAACAGTCAGACAAATGCTGGCTGGAGCAGAAACTACCCTTGAGATATTGCCTGATCCTAAAATGTAGGGACTCTGAATGTATTATGTCTTTTTGATGAGCAAAAA